CTTCAGCATTCAGCATAGTGTGAATCGAAGCTTTTCTTAGTTGAAGACCCAAATGATACTGATCAGTCTAATAGGCTCTCGAAATTAAAAGTTATTAAAGCTTGTTGTCACTAGCTAATCGCTAGAACTATGTGACGGTTACTTATAAATGGTCATGTTGTTTTTGTAGATTTGCATAGGGTCATCGTGAATTTCCAGCATATTACATTTATTGTATTCGAGTTACCGATGACATCTAATTGTTCTTTTTATATCCATCTCACGATCAGCTGTGCTTATCTAAATATAGAAAAACAATTAACAGTCTTTACCATTCTTACCGAGAATGACAAGGAACAGATAAAAACAGTGTTAGGAAGCTAGCTATACAGGCAAAAAGGCGAGAGAAAAAATGTTAAGAAGGTGAGAAACATTTGCTCTTTGTAAACTTAGCACTTGAAGATCATTGAACTAACACTCAATTATACGAAGAACAGTTTTTTTTTCTTGAACACATTGTCTGTAATAACTTTTAACGTTGCGAGCACTTCGAGTTAACCATGCGATAACTCTTCTGTCCATGTGGGAGTCAATTTCACAAATGTTTTTTTAATTGTTTTTCATTCTATTGATCGAGGTACAGAAATAGTTGTGCAGCTTAGTACAGAATCAATCATTTCCATTTGTCTTGCCACAAAACTGGGCACGATAATTTCCATGACTGCGATACTACAGAAGGAATATAAGAAAGAGAATTTGCATAACCTGCGCATTCCCCTTTTTTTTTAATCCACTCAAGAAATGCCATTTTTCAACTTTGCAGATTCATATTAGTGTTTTGTAGACACTCAGCAGTCGAGTACTGATAGTCAAAATGGCAAGATGGTTCGGCGAAGACCAAGTAATCGCTTTGATCATATTCATCGTGAGCTTACTCATTGCACTTGTGACGGAAATTCTTCTTTATTCAGATCGCAGGCATTGGCATGTCTTGCAGCTGGTTTGTTGTTATTTTCATTCGTCAAGTACCTACTCTCCAAAATGCATTTGGTAGGCTCACAACTTCTCAGGCGTTAGCTGAAGCAATGCATCTCTCAATGTTCACCTTGCTTGTGGCTCCTATGATATTTTTGTAAGAAAAAATTAAAAGAGCTAGGAGAAGAAATATATTTCCAGCGAAGTGGAGGCGATGCAAAATATTTCGAGATTTTTCGGACAAGCTCTATTGGTTTGTTATGATGTGTGTGTTTATAGCCATGTTCTTATCTCGTTGAATAGAATGACAGCCGTAATGCTTCCACTGCAGTACGATCGAATATTCAGGTTGATCCGTAATGTCTTTATAAAGGTCTAACTAGAAATCTGTTAAAGCGTGGGAAATACGAGGAAATTGGTGTTCGGCGTTTGGTTTCTATCTATCACTTCATCCATCTACCTTTATGGAATGAGTGAGATCAATCGAGCCTTCTTTTACTCCAAACACGACAAAATTTCAGACGACTGTGATTTTCTTTACGTGACAGACTTTTGGAATTTCACGTTCAGCTCGACTCCCATATGTGCGGTGATTGCTTGGTACACAGATTTCATGAAGTGTGGCATTATCGTTATAATCATTGTTTGTATCGATCTGTCCACTCTTATTCGGGTTCACGCTCTCAATAGATCTGTAATTCGTATGCTATTCTAATCCATCATGGATCAACTGTTTACAGGTTCACCGTAGAGGTACATCCAATCAGCGAAGTCGTAAAACTGATGAGTTGAACTTCTTGAAGCAGGTAAATCATGATTCCCTAGATTAAATCTTCGATGACAATCAACATCGATATCTTGCTCGCTGCAGAATGTTCCACACTGTTTATTCTTACAAGAGTTCAAAAATGATCAAAAAGCCCCAGTATATTCGTTTTGGTGTTGCTCGTGTATAGTGAACTGCTCTGAGAAAACTGGATGATAATTATAATTCTTTTTTGCGATACTACATAACTAATTCCTGAATAGAAAAACATTTTCTTCGGCATTCTGGTCGAATAATGATAATCTGTGTTTTTCAACAGATATAGCGTTTACTCTATTGTATACCCATTTCGAAAGACCACTAAAACGGACTACAGCAGTTGAGCTCGAGTGATATCAAGTTTGTCTTCCAGACATGCCTTCAAGGAGCTCTCTTTGTGTGGGAGCTGCTTTCGTATTTCATACTGTACCAATACTTCGAGAGTCGATATATCAAGTTCTTTTTCACTACCTTCGCATGGATCTTTGTTCATGCGGGTGACAGGTAAGAGTCTCCTCCTTGAACATCTGAATCTTCGATTTTCAGTTTCATAACTCTCATATTCAATCGAGAATTTCATCAGATTTGGAAAAAAAGTGGGTGTTTTCGTAGTCATTATAGTTATACTATTGTAGTTCATTGATAGAATGACTATCGTATCAAACGC